CTCTTCAGAGTTTGGTGCTACTAAAGACCAGCTGAGACATTTCCTGGGAGGGAACTACAGCCCTTGCATTCTTAGACCTTCTATTCATAGGCAGGCATTGTTGGATTAGCTGGACCACAGGCCACAATGCATTGTAGTTCATGTCTCAAGACACCCTCACACACCAACAGAGTGTGAGAGACACAGAGAGAGTGAGACACATAGACAGACAGACAGACGCAAACAGACACACACAAGAGAGAGTGAGAGAGAGAGAGAGAGAGAGAGAGACAGACAGACAGACAGACAGAGAAAGAAAGACTGACTAATACAAAAACACATAGTAACATTCAGTTATCAAAAGAGTATTAAAGCTTGCTTGAAAGATCCGTCCTTCTACACCTGAAAGACAGGGCTTGCATAGACACAGGCTACTCAGGGAGGCTCTCCTGATATGGGGCTCACATCTCCACTCCTTCACATTGGACTTTGCATACCTGAGGACCTGTAAATGGGCAGAGATTCCAAACCAACAAGGGCAGGCATATCAGGAGTTCAAGATCATCCTAATTCTACTGAATGAGATATAGGCCCATCCCCAGGGTGCCTGGCAACCCAGTCTGGTAAGTAGAAGAAAGGAAACAGATGCATGGATCCTTCACATGGGTGACTGGCAGTTGACTTCCTCTTGTCGTGGTGTTGAAAGTCCATATTAAAGTCTCTTTCTCTACTCCAGCTCTGCTGTTGTCTGTGAGTCCTCTATTGTGTCATGAGATGTGTTTGTGGATAATGCCAGCAACGGGGAGATCAAGGGAGGAGGGGCAGATGATCTTGATCATCCTCAAGAAGAAGGTGGGCTGCATGATAGCCTGGGATCCATGAGATACTGTCTCAAGAACCTCAAACTCACAAAACCCACCAAGATCAGAATGAAGTTTTCCCTACCCTTGAATATTGATGATGTGAAGCCCTGTTGGATGTAACTGTCCCGTTGTCCCTCAGTCCCCTTTGCTGTAAAGTGAACACAGCAGGGAAACCATCTGTCCCCCAGGATAGAGCAGTGTTCCTCAACCTCCTGATGCTGTCGACTTCAATACAGTTCCTCATGTTGTGGTGACCACCCAACCATTAGATTATTTCAGTTGCTACTTTGTAAGTGCAATTGCCTGCTGTTTTAAATCATAATGTCAATATCTGTGTTTGCTGATAATCTTAGGCCATTCCTGTGATGGGATCATTCTAGCTCTAGAGGGGTCCTGACCCACAGTTTGAGAACCACTGGGGTGGATCAGCAACTGTGTGCCTCCATAGGAGGGAGAAGCATCCATGACTCAGGTGTTCAGGCTGTGGCAGTAGTGAGCTGAACTGAGAGACAGAAGGGTTCAAAGCCTGGCCCAGCATTGGCATATGCAGTGTGGCCTCCATCCTAGAAGGCCCCGCTGCCCCACTGCTCCTGACTTTTCCACAGGCCATGCTTGCCTGCTATCCTCTGCTTTCCTGCATTGCTTCCTTTCTCTCTTTTTGCCTCCTACTGAAGAAGATGCCACGGTCCACATTCCAATATTTGAACAAGCTGCAGTTTTAGCGTTGATCCCCAGTTACCAAGTAACAGATCCAAAAAATTCTGTAAATCTCAGGTTTTCAATGACAGTTTACAAGAGATGCAGGTGGTGGAGGGACTTGGTTCTGCCTCACCTCGATATGCCAGATTTTGTTAACCTACGGTCCAGGGCTTTACCCTCTCTGAGGATCAGATGAGGGAAGCTATGGGGCAAGGAGGTGTAGGGGACAAGAGAAACATTGGTTGTTATAGAAAATGAAAGAAAAAATATGTGAAAAGTATTGGTTTATTATGTATACTGTGCTCTGTTTGCATGCATGTCTATAGCCCTGAACAGTGTGCCAGATCTTATTATAGATGGTTGTGAGCTCTCCTGTGGTTTCTAAAAATTGAACTCAGGACCTCTGGAAGAACAACCAGTGTTCTTAACTGCTGAGTCATCTCTCCAGTCGGTAACTCTTTTTTTTTTTTTCTGTTTGTTTGTTTTCTGTTTTAGGTTTTCTGTCATTTTTGAGCCTATCCTGGCAGTCACTTAGTAGACCAGGCTGGCCTGCAAATCAGAGATATCAACCTTTTCATGCCTGTGGAGTGGTGGGATTAAAGGCCTGTGCCACCACTGCCCAGTGATAAACAGCCTTTTAAATTAAAAAAGAAAGAAAGAAAGAAAGAAAGAAAGAAAGAAAGAAAGAAAGAAAGAAAGAAAGAAAGAAAGAAAGAAAGAAGGAAGGAAGGAAGGAAGGAAGGAAGGAAGGAAAGGAAGGAAGGAAGGAAGGAAGGAAGGAAGGAAGGAAGGAAGGAAGGAAGGATAGAAGGAAGGAAAGAAAACCAAAAGTTTATATGAAATGTAGCAAATGTGTTAGAATATGAAATCTACCAGCCAAGGTAGCCCACATATCTAATGCAAGCACTCAGGATGGGGATCCAGACATGGGCTGATCAGTGTGAAGATCTGATGGACTGTCTAAATTTCAGTTAGTTCCAGGAAAGCCAGGACTAAATAGAAACAAACAAACAAAGAAACAAACACGAGACAACAAAAAACCAATGTCACAAAACCCAAAATGAAGTTAGTTGACCTTGTTTGTGTAGTGTTTCTTTGATAATTTTTTTTTTTTTTTTTTTTTTTTTGGTTTTCGAGACAGGGTTTCTCTGTGTAGCTTTGCGCCTTTTCCTGGAACTCACTTGGTAGCCCAGGATGGCCTCGAACTCACAAAGATCCGCCTGGCTCTGCTTCCCGAGTGCTGGGATTAAAGGCGTGCGCCACCACCACCCGGCTCTTTGATAATTTTAAATAGAGTCGGAGTTGGAGAAATATGAGCCAAGCTCCTGTCTCACCCTACAGAGATGGGTTCCAATCTTGGTGTTATCCACTGCTGATACAGCCTATGATCCAGATTCAATCACAACCAAGGGATATATAAAGCCTCGGATCTCTACATGGTTCCCAGACTTCCAGAATTTCAGGGAGGTGAGCAAACCTCGTTGTCCACACTCCAGTCTTTGTTGGACCTGCCAACACCCAGAGAACCCCAGTTCTGTGACACTGTGGAGCCAGACAGATCTCAGGAGGGAAAAGGTATGTGAGTCGGGGAACCCATTCTGTGTTTTCTGGAGGCTGGCTGGGAAATGTGTCCTTCAATTAATCTCAGAAGGTGGACATTGTGCCTTTTGGACAATACTCCAATCCACAGGATTAAGGAATCATCTTGTGCTCATGGCAAGCCCCATGCAAGTTGTTGGTAATGTATTCATTGGACAGACCAGGACAGCAGGCAAAAATATAGTTTACTACTTTGAATGTGAAGTTTTCTGAGGCCGATTCTGCTTTATCCAAGACTAGCCCACAACTTACTGTGTGGATGGAAATGACCCTGAACTACTCCATGCACCTCTCAGGAAAGAACTGCTATTATTTCCACTAGTCAAACAACCACGTCCTATGCAGAGGATGGAAAAGTATTGGGTCTGGGTGGATAGGTCTTGGGGTGATATAATGTAAACCACAATAAAACTTATCTGGGGATCAGAGAACAAAGCCAGAAGCTAGATTAGATATAAAGTCCAGACAATGAGGCACACAACCTAAATCCTATCTCTCAGGAGGCACAAAACCCTCTGGATCTCATCCGGGTCTCTGAGGTCAAGGCCATTCTGGGAAGAGAGCCTTTAATCTCAACACTTGAGATCTCATGCCTTTATTGGGAAGCACACACGCCTTTAATCCAAGGAAGTGATGTCAGGGCAGAGAAAGGTATATAATAAGGCCAGAGCAAAGAGAAACTCACACTCTTAAGGCTGAGAATTTTGGAGAGGTAAGAATATGGGTGGCTCTTCTATTTTTCTGATCCTTCAGATTTAACCCAATATCCAGCCCTGTTTTTGTATTTTATTAATAAGGCCTTTTAGCAATTGTTGTTACACTGTCATGTAACAGGACACGTCCTTCTTTGTCTCATCTGTCCCTTCCATAGGGGGACCTCTGATACTCACTGGAGACTTATCTTGTCAAGCATGACAACCAAACTTTCCATTAGGTGAGAATGACCAGCATCTGTAGATGAGGGATGAAGGGTCCCTTGTTTGCTAACGCTGCACGAGGCTGGTTCCTTATTCCACACACAGCTAAGAGACAGAGATTGCTGTTGCATGAAAATGGTGTTGATACCTTATTTATTCATTTCTGGACAGAGAAAAGCAAAGCAAGTCAAAAGCTTGAGAAACACCCAGCAAGGCAGAATGGGCCAGAGTGGGCAGCAGGAAGGACAAGGAAGACCCTCAGGTAATCAGAGTGAACTGTGTGCTAAACCAAAAACCTTTCAGTGCATTTCTTGTTGTGTGATTCCCAGGTTTATGCCAGAGCCCAGATGTGAGCAGCTGTGGTGAGAATGGAGAGGTACTCAGTGTTTCCAGATCTCTGACCTTCTCATAGTAGAGACAGAGGTTCAGGGGACTGTGATAGCTCCCTGGAGTGTGGGAGGAGTGTTTATGAGTGTAGGTCGGGACAGTGTTCCCAGGACCCATGTGTCCTGTGAGAGCCCCTTCTACTCTAAAATGTATTTTCTCAAACTGAAGACCCATAAGCTCTCTGAGTGATTGTACTCCTTGTAATTACCAGCAGGGTGGATGCCCAATCCTTGGTTGGCAAGGAAGTGTTGGTAATCTCATGATATGTGAATGAGGAAACACAGAATGTAGGCATGTCCCATTTCCACAGACCTCTGTGGCACAAAGCAGCAATGTCTGGCCTCCCTTTGTGTCTAACTCCCTCTCACCACCAAGCAATGGAACTATGACTTGTTCATAGCTGATTTTTGACCAAGGGGCCAATGAATTACTGAAGGTGATTCAGGGGGAACCATGGCACCATGCTTATGAGATCTCTCTCTCTCTCTCTCTCTCTCTCTCTCTCTCTCTCTCTCTCTCTCTCTCTCTCTCTCTCTCTCTGTTTCTTTTCCCACAGGACCTCTCTATGATGGAGGAGTTCATAACCCCATGCTTCACATGTACTCTCAACCTCCAATGCTATGGCCGACTCCCATGTACCAGCCTTGGGATTATGGCTTCCCTGTGCCTTCTGGAGCGCTTCAAGGGAACCCACCACCAATGATGTACAGAGGGGATTCTTGATTCACTGATGGGAGACTTGGAAAATATTTCACTGTGCCATACCTACTTCCTGCTTTGGCCCTGGAGACACCAGCCTTCATCAGCCATGGTCAACTTCTTATGAGCACCACGGACCTAAGAGGAGACAGTGTGGATTCCTTGAATTTTCTCTAACAACATTGGAATCATTATGTTTTGTATATGTAAGCTTCTTTCTCTGCCTCCCCAGTGAAGAGTAATAGGTGGAATCAAATAAAGATTTCAAAAGAAACTCTTGCTTCATCCTTGTCATTTCAGTGGGGTGTAGATGAAATTCAAAATGGTGTTATCAAATAAAATACACAGTGCCAAATGAAGAGTTAAAAGCCCAAAAGATCAGAGCGCTTGCAAAGACTTTAGCTTACCACTCGCTGCTGTCCTTAACCTGAGAGAGAAACTTTGTCCTGTGTGACTTGTCTTTTTATTGCCTTTCTGTTCTACCTAATCATTGGCTTTAAACCCAACCACATGTTTTCCTCATCACTGCCTGTCTGTGCAGACCTCCATGTCTCTATGGTTCTTACTGAGTAATATTAAAGTTTTGGATCACCACTTGGCTGTGTCCTTGAACACACAGAGACTCTGCCTGCCATGTGATGGAATTAAGGGCATGTGCCATCACCGCCAGTCTTCTGTTAAATGGCTTGCTTTTATCTCTGACCCACAGGCTACTATTTATGAACATTCAAATAAAATCACATTTCAGCACAAATAAAATATCACCATATTCCCCCTCCTATTCTAATAGAAAGAAAAAAGTAACAAAGGTATAACTAACATAAAAAACTATATACAATAAGTACAATAAATATATACAATTTATACAAGCAATAAATACTTAAACAATGTCTAGTCCATTTGCATCTGACAAACCCAGAATAAAATGCCATTATCTATCCTATTTTGGTAAGTTCAAAATGTACCTGATTCACTTTCTATCCTAACTTATAATACTAACAGAACTATCTTAAAACATCTTTCAAATTTATACACTTACACCTCTTTAGTGAGTTTCTTTTCTGAATTTCTTAACTAGGAAAACTATAACTATCTAATTTTTAACTATAACTGTAACTATAACTATCTGAACTTCAACTCCCTCAGAGACCCAAGAAGGACATAATAGTACCCAAAAAAGAAAAAAAAAAAAACAGGAAGTGCACGCAAGTGGCTTCCAAAAAAATGTGAGTTGACAGAAATAGCCAGCTGCCTGGACAGTCACCTGAGGTGTCTCAGCAGTGTTGGGGCATCATCTTCAGCCTATAGGCTTAGCGTATCCAACAGACTCATTTGTGAAATAGGATGTACACAAGGCCAACTGTTCAACCTCACATTTGGTGAGAGTAGTCCAGAAACACCTGAATTCCACCAATGTCCTGTCATGATCAGGGTTTTAAACTCTGGAAATTGTTGATGTTTTTTTAATTCAGCTGTACATTCTTCTTAGCTTGTGGGTGGCTTCATCTCGGCATCCTGTTCTCTGCATCCCATTCTCCTTGGCTTGTGCGTGGCTTCCATTTTTAATTAAAGGCCAGCCTACCACTGACAGGTTAGACTCCATCACCTTAGTTACTCTTTCAAGAATAACTGTTTCAGCTGCTGTTCCACTGCACATCAGAAGCCATTGATCCACTGCCAGTTCAGCTGCCTTCAAAGAAAGGGGCACTGTACCTTTTCCAGATTGCAAAGCCACTTCACAGATGGTGCCATATTGTCCTGGTCTCAGAAGATGCCTGTTGTTAAAGCCACAACCACACTTGTCTTGGCAAGAGTCAGTAGTCCTTTGTTTTGTGTCCTGTCTGTCCATTTTTTCCTGTTTGTCAGCAGTCGAATCAAGGACACTTTGTTGTCCAGTGGCTAACTTTTGCCACAATGAAAGTTAACTCCATATGCAGTTTCTTCAATGCCCATATCTTCTCTGAAGTAGATTGGTACTGCCAGGAGCCAACATATCTCATAGTCATAAAAAAAGAAAAAGTTTTATCCAACCTTAGTCTCAACAATTCTCGCTCATCTAAACCCTCCTCATTCTCGTTGATTGGACTCCCAGAGATCCACCCAGGGCCTAGTCATGGATCTCTGCATCCAGATCCCTCAGTAGTTGGATGAGGTTTCTAGCACAACAATTAGGGTGTTTGGCCATCCCATCACCAGAGTAGGTCAGTTCGGGCTGTCTCTCGACCATTGCCGGCAGTCTGTTGTGTGGGTATCTTTGTGGATTTCTGTGGGCCTCTCTAGCACTTTGCTTCTTCCTGTTCTCATGTGGTCTTCATTTACCATGGTCTCCTATTCCTTGTTCTCCCTCTCTGTTGTTGATCCAGCTGGGATCTCCCGCTCCCCCAAGCTCTCTTTCCCTTGACCCTCGCCTTTCATTACCCCCAGGTTGGATAAAGCACAGGGACAAATAGCCAAATGAATGGAAACACATGAACTATGAACCAATGGCTGAGGGGTCCACACTGGATCAGGCCCTCCGAATGGGTGAGACAGTTGATTGGCTTGATCTGTTTGGGAGGCATCCAGGCAGTGGGACCAGATCTTGTGCTCATTGCATGAGTTGGCTGTTTGAAACCTGGGGCCTATGCAGGATTGTTTGGCTTGGCCGGGGAGGAGGGTACTAGACCTACCTGGACTGAGTCTACCAGGTTGACCTCAGTCTGTGGGGAAGGCTTTGCCCTGGAGGAGATGGGAATGGGGGGGGGGCGTTGGGGGGAAGGTGAGGGGGACGGGAGGGGGGAGAACAAGGGAATCCGTGACTGATATGTAGAACTGAATTGTATTGCAAAATAAATTAAAATAAATTAAAAAAAAAGTTTCTAAGTTATTAAAAACATTTTAAATACCATATTCTGTACATCTCTGAAGTGTTTGAAGATGACCTGTCTATCTAAAATTTATCTGCTCGATCTTGAAAACATACCGAACATGACTACCAGTTCGACTGTAATGTCTAACTATTAACTTTGATTTCTTTATATCCTAATAGTTGGTAATAATAACATTCAAGAATCAGCAAATTGCATTACATTGTTAAATAAACTGTGTTAGTACAGTATCTTGAACAAGATTAGAAATATACGTATAACATTTTCTAACAATATCAATCTCAATATATATAATTTGTATACAATAAACAAAAATCCAATCCAATGTAAATTATTTAAAACATAGTAATTGTCTTTTAAAAGTAGATTAAATAATCTATCTTTTATCTATATGTTATCTATATCTTCTCTTTACTTTTCAGAGTAGATTCAATAATCTACACTCTATTCTATCATTTCTGTATATCTTTTCTTTAAACAAGAACCTTAAATCTAATATCCTTTGGTTAGCCCTTTTCCTAACCCTTAACAACAACTTGTAACCAAACCTCCTAAACAATGAAAAGTATCCCAGACCCAAAACACATAAAAAGATCAAAAAACACCCACCCCACATCACCTCTTTAAGAAGGTGGGTGTTGTGTTCTTAAAATTGCTTCCTACTGGTTATGGGTGAAGGTATCTTTATTCTGAAAAGAAAAATTTTGGGTTAATAGTCAAATTCTAAGAAACGTAGCTATATCCTTTGTTGTCCAGTCTGTGCATAATGCCAAAGTTTAGGGCTTATCTCAAGTCCTTGTTCAAGTAGTCCGTGAAACTGGGTCATCTCAGCTAGCCATCTCAAAACTGCTCTGAACAGTTTGTAGTCCAAAGTTGATCTGTAGATGATGTTTGTCAGCTTAGTGGTATTTTTATTGTCCACATGGAATTGTTGTTGTTGTGGGGCCCTATCTTCTTTTTGGAGACTTCAAATTTGATGTTAGGCCTGTTCGTGATTCCCTGCAGAAAACTGATAGAGACTCAAACACAAAGACATGTATAGGCAGCTAATTGAAGCCTTTTTTCTAGAATTCATTAGTACTCTATATGACCATTAATATCTTAACAAAGTTTAAAATATATATGTATATTAATCTTGTAAATTTTGATATAAAATTCATACTTCAAGAAAAGTTTAAAGGATCAGAATAGAATCAAAGAATTGAGATTAGTAGTAATAAAATAGTCCCTTAAATTTTTTTTGTTTCCTTGTTTTCTCCTGTCCCATATCAGAAGATGGCTCTTTCTTCTGGCATGATACAGGGCATTTCCATTTTCCTTTTAACAACATGCTTAGGTTTAAAGAAGGAGAGAGCCATTCTCCAACTCCAAAGCCAGCTTTAATTTTTAATTGAACTGGGACTACAAGAAGATCATTAATGTTAAATGTTTTTAGAGAAGAGCAGAAACAAACATTTAGAAAGACTTATTACATTTTATAGATGATACAACAATAGGCCATTTTACTCTTTTTATTGGGACATTTTTTTCTAGATGATTTGTCCCTTTTCTTCAGATGTCTCATTTGTTCAGTGTTTCTCAGATTTCTTAGCTTTCATTCTCCTAAAGACGAAAACAAAAAACTTTCCCCAAGACTAACTTTGGGGAGGTTCCCTTTTGGCAAGTTATTATCTGATTAAAGAAAAGGCATGTGTTAATGGTATAAGCTAGTTTTAATTGGATGGTCATGCTGGTTGATGAACTATCACCTCCTCTAATTAAGAGGTCTCTCTTGTTCAAATCGAACCTTTATCAATTTTGATGGTATCCACAGCTTATCTTCTCCTGTAGAAACAAAAGAAAAACCTCATCTCCAATGTAACACATATCCTGGTTTCCATTCTGAGGTCAGCACATCCTTAAAGTATATAAGCTGATTTAATTCTGTAGTTTTTTCTATTATCCAATGTCTCTCTGCAGCTGTTGTTCCTTTCTCATTAGCATTGAGAAAATTCAAAGTGAATAGAGCATTATGCAGTCTATTTCTGGGGGGTTTTGTTACTCCTTTCTGTTTATTTAGCACATACTTTAAAGTTCTGTGTGATCTTTCTATAACTGTTTGGCCTGTAGGATTATGTGGTATACCTGTAATATGCTTTATATTGTAATAAGCAAAAA